TTATGAAGATCCCCTACTTCATCAATTGACCAACCATCCTAACCTAGTAGCCATTTCCTAACACCAGCATTGCTTACTCAATGGTCCCAAGATACACGAGCAATGCTTCGAAAACATTGATGATCGAATATTAGTAACTTACGAATATCTCCTACTCTTACTGGCAATTTCGCAAACATAAATTAGGACAGAGCGAACTGCTGCGCATCCCGAACATGCTTGCATTGTTGCTGAAGGTAGTCAGAAGACTCTGCATCATATCAGTGTCTCCACCAAGTAGAATTATGTAATCGGCATAAAATTCCCACTACCAATTGATATGAAGTGGCCACTTCAAAAGTAACATTGACAAAATAGAAAATCCTGTACTAAAAGAGTGGGGACTATCCATTCTGTATAGGGAATATTCAACACAAATGTCAAGACAGTTCTACTGTATGGGGCAGAAACTTCGAAAACTACCAAAGCTGTCATTCAGAAGATACAGGTGTTCATTAACAGTTGTCTACGCAAAATACTTCAGATCCATTGGCCAGATACCATCGGCAATAGCCTACTGTGAAAGAGGACAAACAAGATTCTAGTGGATGAAGAAATCAGGAAGAAGCGCTGGAAGTGGATAGGATACGCATTTGAGGAAATCACCCAACTGCGTCACAAGCCGTCAAGGTCAAAGGATAAGAAGAAGGCCAAGGAACACATTACGCCGAGAAATGGAGACAGACATGAAAAGAATGAACAAAAATTGTACAGAACTGGAAAGGGAAGCCCAACACAGAGTAGGTTGGAGAATACTGGTCGGCAGCCTATGCTCCATTAGGGGTAACAAGCGTAAGTAGGCAAATAAGTATCATTGTCCCCATCACTAGCCTGATCAAAGGAGTTCGAACATGAAATGTAATCTTAGGTGAATCAGTTAGACGCAATTAACTGATCCAGTAGTTTATTGTCTAATATTCACCAAGTCATTGTTCAATTTCTTACTAGTGAAAACACATACTGTAAGTATCTTTTTTTCGTCTGAACAATTTCAAGAGTAGTTGTCTTTTTTGTTAAGTCAAATTTGTTAAAAGGTGATTTGCCTATTATATCAAAATTGCTAAAGATTAATTAAACTTCATAAAAGAAAAGATTAGAATAGAAATTCAAAAAAGTCTAAATAAGTTTAGAATAATTCAATATTAAATAACCTATGCAGTTGAGAAATGTGTTGAGATAAGTAGCTCTTACATAATAATTAATTGGTCAATGATCGATAGATAACTTTACCAGTTAATTTATTTGATTATCAACTTGTGTAAATTTAGTTACTTAAGAGAATGACTGTTAGTTAAATGATTATCTGTTGCGATTGTGTAGCTTCATATATAAATCAGTTAGAATTAACCATTCTCAACGAGTAGAAAACTACAAATTGAGAATGATATAAATTATGTATTACTACAACCGATGATCGTCTACTAAGGTGTTATCATCTAAGACTCGTCAGTGTGATTTATATCTGTCGACAGATTTGTCATGCTATAGCACATTTTAGCCTGTGTTACCGCTTCACTGTTTTCACTCACGCGAATCATTGTGATTAATTACAATATTTTTGTAGAAAGAGAGTATGAACAAAGATTTGAGCAGAATAGTGTGAGATTATCTTACTTTGTTTGTTTTCCGTCCGTTGCTTACAACATGTGATCATTATCACTCTGAACTGGACAGTGGTCAAGCCTTTCTTGGGCGGCGATGCCTAGAAATCTTTCAAGGTGACTAAATAAAAGTTAAGCTCCAGACTTTGTTCTCAGCTAACTGACTTTCATTCGTTTTATTCTTACTTATTATCAGCGTTTATGCATTGCATTGCGTAAGCATTCGTTTTACTACTTTGATCTTTCTTATACAATCAATATTATACTCATTTTTTTACTTTCTTACTTACTTACTTACGCCTGTTACCCCCACAATGGAGCATAGGCCGCCCACCAGTTTTCTCTAACCAACTCTGTCCTGGGCTTCTCTCTCCAGTTCTGTCCAATGTTTGTTCATTCCTCTCATATCTTTCTCTATTTCTCGGCGTAATGTGTTCCTTGGCATTCCTCTTTTCCTTTTGCCTTCAGGGTTCCATATAAGGGCTTGTCTCATGACGCAGTTCGGTGCTTTTCGTAGTGTGTGTCCTATCCACTTCCACCGCTTCTTCCTGATTTCCTCCTCCACTGGAATCTGGTTTGTTCTCTCTCACAGTTCGTTGTTGCTGATGATGTCTGGCCAACGAATACGAAGTATTTTGCGTAGAAAACTGTTCATAAACACTTGTATCTTCTGGATGATGCCTATCGTAGTTCTCCAAGTTTCCGCTCCATACAGTAGAACTGTCTTCACATTTCTATTGAAAATCCTGATTTTGGTTTTGGCTGAAAGTTGTTTGGAGTTCCAGATATTTTTCAACTGTCGATGACCAGGAGAAAGAGAAAGGGTGAGAGTAAGCAACCTTGCCTCACACCGGTCTTCACCTCGAAAGAGTCTGTTAGCTGTCCTTCGTGTACGATTCTGCAGTTGAATCCATCATAAGAATTCTGTATGATGCTAACTAATTTCTCAGGCGCACCGTAGTGTCGAAGAAGCCTCCACAGTGTTTTCCTATCCACGCTATCGAATGCTTTCTCGTAGTCAATAAAGTTGATGTAGAGTGGTGAGTTCCATTCAATTGATTGTTCCACAATGATTCGTAATGTAGCAATTTGGTCAGTACATGATCGATCCTTACGAAATCCAGTCTGTTGACCTCGAAGCTGGGCGTCTACGAAGGCCTTCATTCTGTTTAACAATACTCTGTTGAAGACTTTGCCTGGTATTGAAAGAAGAGTGATGCCTCTGTAGTTCTCACACTTGCTCAGATCGCCTTTCTTTGGTATTTTGATCAGGTATCCTTCTTTCCAATCTGATGGTACTTGTTCCTCATCCCAAATCTTCTTGAAGAGGATGTGAAATATTTTCGCAGTTGCTTCTACATCTGCTTTCATTGCTTCTGCTGGAATGTTGTCTGGTCCTGCTGATTTGCCGCTCTTGATTTGTCTGATGGCCGTACTGATCTTTACTCATTTTTTTAACATATATATTTACAATTAACAGTACAGGTTTGTGGAGATTGTTGAGTTCCAATGAAATCATCATAAGCTGATCGATCACTATTGGAATCTTGGTCATCCAGTGCTTCGAGGTTTCAAATGGTGGTCTAACATTGATCATTATATGATTTCAAATCAAACATAATAACAATGTTTTACTTAATCTACTAAATTTATCCGCATCCTTGCTTATACTACTACTGTGGTGCAAGCTACTTATAAGTAGTATATGACGTGAGTGTCAACGTAATGTCTGGCAGCAGAAGATGGGGGAAGATCAAGAAAGGAAGAGTTAGAAAACACAATGGAATTTGTATGAAACGCATGAATAGTGACAATGGATTGATGTTTTGCAACAGGAACAGTCCAGTTCGATATGATGAACTGATATTTTGCAAATTAACGATTTACGATATGGTTTTCCTATTTTACCAATTAACTCTGTAATTTTCGTTAAATACAATTCGGTTGCCCCACCTGTGTTCTCGTTCACTAGACTACTATAATAACATATGATCCATACAGACTTCCAAACAAACTCTTCTATGTATATAAGTAATTTGAACCGATTTTGTAATGATTTCTAAATATTACAAGTAGTTAAGTAGTTAATGAGAACTACGTGAAATAGAAATGTTTGGTCTTTCTCTCTTTAAGGTGATATATACAGGGAATGATGTGTATGAAATCTTTAGCTCTTTTCATTGGAATCATGAATCAATCAAATAAACGTCCATTTTCATTGTTAGGCTATTATAATAATAAGTTTAAATCATACTTTTAATCTCTCTGTTCAGAACAAAAGTCAGAATGACAAATATCAACAACCAGTTGATTATTATAGTACACCTCAAATTGGTGGCAAGCAAATAGACTCTTCTGTAGTATCAGCACCTAATAATGCTGATTATATACGCAACATACTTATACGAAAGTTTTTTCACAGGTTAGTTTCAGCATTTTAGCGTACTTCATTTGATGTTAAACTGCAACAACTCCTCAACTACACACCACCAAACAACCTGGATGACAAATTGATGTTGGCGGTCCGACTCCCAATGATGTTGGAAAGGCATTGGACTCGTCAGCAGTGAACATACACGGCTGCGTCTCGCGGGATTTGAAGCTAGGAGCTTTGGTTTCGTGTGTGAACGCTTCACCTCTAGATTACTAAACTGCCATGCTAAAGTGTGAATGTCTAACTCTTTTGTTAGTAATCGTTTATCTGAACTCATTTGTAAGCTTAACGATTAGTCAGGCTTCAAATAAGTTTATAGAAGTCTGAACTTGTTTCTGTGAATTGAAAGTGTAAAATTGTAGTAAACAATTTTTTAAACTGTACTTCGGTTATTTGCACATTTCAAGTCGGACATTGATACATTAGCTATTACAGATATACGAAATAATAACAACTTGGTACATGTACGTACATTAGTTTAAGTTGTCATACTACATTCGTACGGAGAGATTGAATTGTCAACTGAAATAGCACACTATTAGTGGTAATGAAGATTTGCAGGTCGAAAATATGATTTTTCTAAACGAGATAAAAGGTGGTGAGGAATCCAGAAGATTAGAATTTGAAAGAAGACAAAGAATGGATGCACCAGCGCCATTGCAATAACAACAGTACAGTGATAGTCGTGGTGAAGAGCTAGGAAGGAATGTTTTTCAACAAATAGTAGTAGACAAGAAAATGAACACGCATAAAACACGAAGTCTCATCAGTATCACCAATGACAAGTTCTTTTGCTTCACACATAAAAGCAGAAACTCACTGAATGTAGTTCTTACTAAACCACACGTAAAGTAAAGCCATTAAAAACAGGATTCAAGAAAAAAACAATTGAACATTGATTATATATATAAATATATAAAAATAACCTGTAATTGCTTTCTCCGGTAACGGTGGAATACAAATACATGGATACTTTGATAATAAACGTGCATGAAGCCAATCAAAATGTTTATATCTTCTACTGACTTGTGTTTGTGTAACCTAAGAAAAGGATTAAAAAAAGCACAAATTATTCATAACTCATTTGAAGAGTAGTTTTTAGTTTTTTTGTCCTCTAATGAGAATAAATACTGTTAGTAAAAGAAGGAAAACAATGCGTATAAAACAAGTGATTTTTAATCACTGACAATGAGGGCTACAATGAACTGCTTGACATTTCAAGAATAATAGCATGAATAAAATACGGTCAAGACCTAAATTAGGTAACCGTTTGGAAAATTTCGCCAGGTTTGGTCACACAGACAATGGAAGTATTGAGAAGTGAAGGAAGAACTGGGTGGTGAACAAGGTGATCTCGGATGATGTTAGGGGTGAGATGGTGGTTCTTCATCTTCTGAATACTCCAATACTGTGGATATTTCATCTTGAGAGTTACGAAAAGGGGTTGAGTTGGTCTTGCAGTTTTGAGAACATGGTCTCAGAAATTAAGGAACAACTGTTGGAGGTCGATTAAGATCTTCTTCTGGTTTTTGATGTATTAGCTACGTACTTCAAAAGGTCATACTACCGAAAATGGAACTTCGCGTAGTAAAATTTGTACAGATGAACTTTTATTTTGTTATAAGAAAGTGTCGTTGCAGATATTGGCAGTGTGAGGAAAACACTTTACTGTAATCACACTCCTGTATATCTAGCAGTACTTTAAACATGGACTTTAAATTGTCGCGTTTAGTCTTAACATGTTCCAACCGACTTGACTGACATAGTAGGATTTGAAACAAGCGGGAATTGAAATTCCAACTAAAGTTCGTGAGACTACATCAACTGGCGTATCACTAAACTACTAGTGTACAGGAATAGTATCTGTTGGTCCTTCATGACCGCCTGGTTGGGGTCCTCGGATGTTATCAGATATGTGGCTTGGTATATAAGCCCATTGGCTCCCGTAAGTTAGAGGAACTTCTTTGAATAAAAGAATCCTTTCCAGTTGTATTTTTCTTAAGTAAACTTCTTCTCCCAATACGATTTCACTCACGTACACTAATTTTTACTCACTTTATGTTATACTCCTTGTACTTTCTCTATTTCTACACAACCTTATTTTTATTTTTCGGTATATATATATATATATGGGTGCCTCCCCGTATCAATATTTACGTCTTAAATAAATATCTGCAGGCACAAATTTCATAAACACCTTCAACGTAGGTAATACAAGTTGGCGAAAGCCAACCACACATGAATTCTTGAATACACAACACTGTGCACGAGAAAACATATACACAGTGGAAAATCACATAACTTTACAGATATTTAGAAGGAAAATAGTTCGCGCGATGCGACAGAATTGCAGTGAAATTATTTGCACGAAGCAGCGTGAAATGATCAATGAATTGATGCGATTGTAATGAACAGCGTGATAGTCGTACTAGAATCGTAGAAAGTACCTAAACACTCTTAATCTGTCCGGACAAATAGAAAGCATTTATCGGATTCCTTCTCAGATTTCACTGTGATTTGGAAAAACCAGTGTAATCTATTGTGTCCACAAAATATTTGACCGTAAAAAAAAGCATAACAATGTGTTAAAAGCATCATGTCGCCAATCATTCAATCATTCTACTTAAAAATATATATCATATCAGATTTCAAAGGAAATTGATGCTTATTGTGCAATTCGAATCTATTTTTGGAACGGCTTCACAGTCTCGGGGTGTTGTTATAACTTAATAAAATTAGCACGAAACTTACATTGGACAGAGTTCATTTCAGACTAACTCCAACCACTAACAAATGGAACATGGTATCAAGTCACTTACACTAACTAGTGACTACATTTTACCTACCGTTTGATTGATAGAATTCTATCAGAACTAAACAACTTACAAACTTCAATATTGGACACTACTCGCTAACCGATTGATCAACTGTCAATAGACTTCATACAAAAAGTATAGCATGAAGTTAAACACATCTCTATTCTCAATAAATAAAAAGATGCATTGAGCTATTCGACTGATCAAACACTAAATTAGTTTAAACAAGCAAGGTACATGTATAAGATCTACTGACAGTAATTCACATGGTTTACTCATTAAATCATAACTCCATGAAGTATCATATGCATGAATGTTTTGTTTTTTTTCATAGTTCTTTGTTTACGTGTGTGTGTGTGTGATAATTATTATTATTATGTTCATGATGATGACTACATGTATACGTTTGTCATTAATTATTTATGGTTTATGCTGATAATTTCTTAAGTGCGTAAACACATGCTTAGTTTTGTATGCAGAGAAAAACACATTCCAACATAGTCATATATATATAGTTAGTAATAAATCATATAGTTTATCAGTAACTTCATGTATTGGTTACTTTCCATAAATATATTTCAGTGTATTGATTTTAGACAATCATCAAACTATACTGGATTATCGAATAGATATAGGACTGCCTGAAGTATGTTACATGAATTAGTATACACAGAAAAATACGGTTTGTTTAATATAATATTGTTACCGTACTTAAATACGCAATTATATATACATGTTCATCAGTTAGTTGTCATCTATGTTGTTAGGCTTTATGACAAAATGTTAATTAGCCTAATTCACCAATAATACATTCAGCATGATGAGAAGATATAAAGATTTTTACTCCTTTGGTAATATTATATTTCATAACAAGTGATGATTAGTATATATATATATATATATATATATATTAGATTGTTTTTTTGGGAACGATGAACTGTTAAGGTGACCTTGGGATTCTTTACTCATTTGTACCATCAGAATACGGGTGATAAAGATGGATAATTTACAGTAGAATACCAATACAACTTAACTGTAAGCATCAGACAACCTTTTTCAAATCCTTATCTAATCTTTTGAAACTTATTAACTAATATTGTCTTAACGCCAAATGATGTCATCGTTCAACATCATACGGAATGAAATGACACAAAAAATTGGTCACATGATTATTGAGTTCTACTGTTTCATTAACTATTTAGTAAAAATAAGCTGTAGCCTTTTTAAAGTTTTTTAATAAGTATGCAGCATTCAGAATTTTCGGGAATTTTTCCATTCTTTTGGTAGGTGAATGCATCACAAAAGAGTAAAATCTTTTTGCAAACCTTAACTTCCGATATATTGTGTGCTGATTCACAATACGTAATAATCGAATCTAAATAACAACTGACAAGAAAGGCAAACGTATGTAAGGTAAAAAAAACTATCAAGTATTCAGATGAAACAATCAGGTTTACGAATGTGGTTTTTGTTTCATGATGTGCATCATGGTTTGAAGAAAAATATCAACTCTTGACCAAATAGTTATTTTGTATGGTTGTAATCTAGAAATAACGCCAATGGAATGTCAACATAAACATGGAATAGTTATATTTCAAAAACTGCCTTTATGTCGGTATTGAAAATCTAGGAGAAGCTGATTCATTTTTCAAATAGGACATTTAAATGTAAACTGAGTGATACAAACTTCAGTAACTAGTGCAGTTGCCTTTACTGATGCAAGTATGGCAACCTGAACTGATGTACGTATGTACGAAGTTTTAACTTGTAGGTGAATGACTGATACAAACAAATTAACAGAGTAATATAATAATGTCAATATCGAAGAGAGGTATGCTCAAAAATTATCTATATAGTTTGGAAAAGTAGAATCTTTGGAGTTAATCCAATGAATAATTGAAGCGAAAAGTATGACGAATTTTCACAATATCTCCATAATGAACACCCATTGTGTTATGTCGATGATTTTACCAATTAAACATATACCCCATACTTGGGCTTTGATTAAGCAGCTGAATTCCTATTGGCCTAATATTCTCTAACTTTTTTCTGTCCTGCTATCGAGTCCAAAAGTCAAGAGCCAGATCCTACTATATTTATATTTCAAATAGACTTAGTTTGTATACAAACTGACTAGACCGCTTTATTTACACCATAAATAAAAGATAATAATTATACATGAATGAGCCAAAAGTGGCGGTGGAAAGAGGAGGCTGTAAATAATAGACTGGTCACCAAACAGGAATAGCGAAACGTATGAAAATAGTCGATGCTTCAAACGAAAGCTTATATATATATATATATATATATATATATATAAGCTGAAGGTTTCCTATGAGACCAGAGGTTCACTTTGAACATTGTGAATGGCTTGACATTGCTTTAGCGAGTATTGTTAACAGTCTATGTACAAATTTTGTGTGCAAAGTGATCGATTTCATTGAAACTGGCGGTTGTTTTGCAACTTTCCCGAGAGCCAATGTCATCGGGATGTGGTGTATTAAATATCAACATTGCATATAATAATGAGTTTGACAGTCTCATTAACGGGATGGGTCAAATATGTACATATGACTATGTTGGAATGTGTTTTTCTCTGCATACAAAACTAAGCATGTGTTTACGCACTTAAGAAATTATCAGCATAAACCATAAATAATTAATGACAAACGTATACATGTAGTCATCATCATGAACATAATAATAATAATTATCACACACACACACGTAAACAAAGAACTATGAAAAAAAACAAAACATTCATGCATATGATACTTCATGGAGTTATGATTTAATGAGTAAACCATGTGAATTACTGTCAGTAGATCTTATACATGTACCTTGCTTGTTTAAACTAATTTAGTGTTTGATCAGTCGAATAGCTCAAGGCAACTTTTTATTTATTGAGAATAGAGATGTGCTTAACTTCATGCTATACTTCTGTATGAAGCCTATTGACACTGGATCAATCGGTCAGCGAGTAGTGTCCAATATTGCAGTTTGTAAGTTGTTTAGTTCTGATAGAATTCTATCAATCAAACGGTAAAATGTAGTCACTAGTTAGTGTAAGTGACTTGATACCATCTTCACTATTGTATGATCTTTGTTAGTGGTTGGAGTTAGTCTGAAATGAACTCTGTCTGATGTAAGTTTCGTGCTAGTTTTATTAAGGGATATGAACACTCCGAGATTGTGAAGCTAGGCCGAAAATAGATTCGAATTGCTCAATAAGCATCAGTTCCTTTCAAATTTGATATGATATATATTTTTAAGCAGAATTGTGGTGTGAGCTACTTATAAGTAGTATATGACGTGAGTGTCAACGTAATGTCTGGTTGCAGCAGAAGATGGGGTAAGATCAAGAAAGGACGAGTGGGAACACAATGGAATTTGTATGAAACGCATGAACAGTGAAATGTCAGCCAATGGACTGATGTTTTGCAACAGGAACAGTCCAGTTCGATATGATGAACTGATATTTTGAAAATTAACGATTTACGATATGGTTATCGGATTTTACTGAGTAACTCTGTAATTTTCGTTAAATGCAATTCGGTTGCCCCACCTGTATTCTCGTTCACTACAGAATGACTGAATGATTGGCGACACGATGCTGCTAACACAATGAAATCGTGAGAAAACCATAATAATATAACTTTGATGAAAAAAAGAAACTAAGTTTTTGAAGACCAAAAGGCCACTGCTCTACTGTGATGTAGTTGCTTTTAACCAATGGGGTGTACTTATTGGATCAAGTGGTTTGGCTGGTTATGATTATTTATTATTACTAAAAATAGTTGTTTTAAAGCAACACTGTCACTTCAAATTGCCTGCGACAGATAGACACACACACAATAAATATATATATATATATATATATATATATATATATATATATATATATATATATATATATATGATCAATAACAGCCAATCGGTAAACTTACTGAATTTGTTATTTGATAAGCAATGAAACTTTTGATCCCTTTCATTTTGGTATCTTTACGAAATGATGAAATACAACTAGTGAGATGATCTTTTGATAAACGACGCCATTGAAACGAATCATCAATGTACTAATGTAAAAATAGTAGCAGTAAATAAATAAGATAAATAAAATAAATAATACAGTAACTACTAGATAATTAAATAGAAATAAACACTTGTAAACTAACAAAAAATGATCAATGTGCCAGAGAGTTTTAAAGACCACAAAAAAATGAAGAGCTAGTATAGTGAACGAGAACACAGGTGGGGCAACCGGACTGTATTTAACGAAAATTACAGAGTTACTCAGTAAAATCGGAACTGCATATCGTAAATCGTTAATTTGCAAAATATCAGTTCATCATATCGAACTGGACTGTTCCTGTTGCGAAACATCAATCCGTTGTCACTATTCATGCGTTTCATACAAATTCCATTGGTTTCTAACTCTTCCTTTCTTGATCTTCCCCCATCTTCTGCTGCCAGACATTACGTTGACACTCACGTCGTATACTACTTATAAGTAGCTCACACCACACTAGTTCCTTATCATGAATTGTTATCAGATAGTGAGCTATTTAGAATTATTAATAATAATAATAGTAATAATAATAATGACTATTTATCAAGGAATTTAAAAAGAAAAAGTATATTGTTTTTTTACAATGCTTAGTTTGTTTAAACTTAATATCGGGTTCATAACGGTCAAAGTTTATGGTTTAGGGACGAGTATTAAGAAAAGTTGAACTTGTTAAACTGTCCTAACCTGAAGTTTCATTTAATTAATCAATACATATATGATTATATTTTTGTATTCTCATGACTGTAAGATTTTTTGTGGCACATAAATGGTAAATTTATTACATCTATTATTCAGTTCTCTATCACTTATGTATGGCATGGCCATGTCACTATTGCAATTGCTTGATTATGTTTATGTATAGTCATTATCTGTTGGGGACATTATATGAACAGACAAACAGACAGACAGATACAACGCAGAACTTCGTACATAAGTACATCACATCAGTTCAGTTTGCCATACCACATCAGCACAGAGACGTAACTGTCAGTTCAAATCCAACAGTGATAGTGATAGTAGAATTATTAGCAGTAATGGAAAAGATTAGGGAGCAAAGATATGATTCGAGAAGTATAATTCAGTGAGATAAATTTAGAAGGAGAAAGATAGAGATTATGAGGAATTCAGAAGGTTAGAATTGAAAAGCACACAAAGAGTGGATGCACCTGCGCCATTGCAAACGATTCTGAGCCATGTCGTTCAAGGTCTCTAACGATTGGTGACTTTCGTCTCGCGGACCCCAACCAGATAGCCTACATCTACCAACATGATTCAGTCCACTTGTCAGTGACTTCATGGATTTCTGCTATGTTTTGGTCTGGCCGCCGCTAGGGATATTAGATCCCCAGAACTCACTTGATAAAAGTCCTAATTTTGGGTTTTTTTTTAAGTTTTCGCGCATTAGTTGCTCAGTTGAGCTTGAGATTACATTTCCCACTCGGAAAATCCTTGGTTGATGTATTATTTCAGTAAACTATTTTTTTGGCTCTCCCAAGGACGTTTCTATCATGTATGAATAAGCTCGATCTGTGTGCTTGTCGACTCGTATTTTCTGGGTGCTTGTAGAATACACTCTACGATAGATCAAAACTTCTTGATATAATTAGCGGGGCCGGGGACAACGGATTATTGTCACTGCATCATTTTTCTACGCGCTGTTACCGAGTAAGATGAACTCGTAATAGTTCGAAGCATATCAATAGACGAGCATATCATAATTCCCCCAATTATTGTATTTCCATTCATGACTGAATTGGATACAATAGAGAATTAATCTGGTTTCTCTCTTCGTTTTCTGGCTAGCCACTAGGTTATGAGTAGTTTGAGGACCAATAAATGTCAAGGTTTTGGTTGTGATTGATTGGTCTAAGTGTTAATGGAAGAAAAGAACACCGGCCTTGCTAGCGACATAGATGAATTCATTGAACAAGAGAGAGAGAGAGAGAGACCATACAACTGCTTTTCTAGCATTACATTTTAGTCACCAAGGTCCCTATTCATTCAAACCTAAGAAAAAATGTTTTCTTTCGAAACAAAATTTACTTTCGACATTCAATAACCCCCAGCACCAGTAGTAACTCAATTCTAATTTTAATCCTAGACACAATTCCTAACTATTATCACATTTGAACTGCTATGATGTGCAGTTTCCGAGATCTGAACGTGATACGTACTAACCCTTCATAGCTGACTACTTGATCGAAAAGGTGAGAGCAAAAAAGAAAGTCTATTTCGCTACCGAATATCATTTACAAACACGTGTCTATATATATTCCATCCCCTTAAAAATGGAACCATTTCTTGGCTGATGGATATGTATTTGTCTCTTAGGACATTTGGCAACTTCTGGTTGACCTTCTTCTGGTAGTGGGATCATGGGTAAACACTACTACTACCAATGCTTTGAGGTTTTTATTGGTGGTCTATCTAAAATCAGTTTACGATTTAAATCATTGATAATACATATACAATGGGGAACTTTTACAAAATTAGACAGATATTGTACTCATTGAGAATATCTGGAGTTAGAGATTTGTCAGTTTTTTAACAAAAAGGTTATATATATATATATATATAGTCCGTCATGAAAATCAATTTTACGCTGACAAGCAAATGAATTCAAAGCTTGCAATAAAAGCAAAATGAGAGATAACATCCGATTTGATGCCAGTAAACAACCTTAAAATCCCACATTTTGAAATTGAATTTATGCATACAAACAAACGTTTTTATTTCTATGAAAGCATAAAGAAAAAATTAAATTACTTATCTACTTACATCGATATTAGCTTCGGTCTGGGGAAAAGGCGGTGAATCATGACCCAATAGAAAATCTTCACCACCATTACGAATGAATGATCTGTGACGATATTCAAGAAATGGAAATAAAATATATATATGAAAGTTTTCAGATGAACGAACATTTTTTGGAATTCTAGAACTGTTTCTAGCCCTTTAGACGTTTATCATAATCAATGTTGTAGAATGTTCTTTCGTAGAAAGCATATTATTCACAATCTCTTGTTCTTGTCTAGTGGAATTATTTACACCTGCGCTATACTACGCTGGTGCACGATCATAGCAACCTGCAACTCCTTTCTCTCTCTCTCTCTCATGCAAGTAATTTAAATCTAATTCGTAATTATGATTCTAAATATTCCAGGTTATAAGCAGCTGACAAAAATCACACGAAATAAAATGAATTCATCTTATTCTGCTCAAATCTTTGTTCAAGATGATAAGATGAACTATGTGTATGAAATAGAAAATGGTTACGTAAAAAAAAAGAGAAAAACGATTCCGAAATTGACTGAAGTCATGATATGTTTTTTAGTCGCCTTTAAAATTTTTCCAATATAATCCTACACTAGAAAAAATTACTCATCAAGGTAGGCGCAGATGGTGCCCACAACTGCTCTGGCACGGCTGTGAGTAGGATGAGAGTTTGTTTTCACTCTCCAAATGCTCTTATATGGTCATGCGCATATAGAAACTGCGAGGGAAGTCCTACTCACTGTCTTTTCACAAGATGGTTGTTGTTTAAGAAACTGACAGGACGAAAAGCGAATACCGAAAGCTTTAACCGAATATGCAGGATCCACCTAAGGGAGTCAGACAACCCTGAATCCAAACCAACAGTGCACACGGGTTCAAGGGTCCTGAAAGAACAAATGGTGTATGGACCTACTATTGGTCACCGACTAACATGGAACTGCATCTCTTAACCTTCCTTTAACGCTTTGCAGATTAAACGTTCGGGTTAAAGGCGCGGGATATGACCCTCTGAAAAATAACTTGCTACGGTCTGGGCGACCAGGTAGCATCCCAGTCCACTTAAGAAGTTAATAATTTATGAGGAATTCAGAAGATTCGAATTCAAGAGAGGATAAAGAATGAATACACCTACGTCACTGAAAACGATTTTCAGCCATATCATTCAAAGTCGCTAACCATTGGTTACCAAAGTCTCGCGGACCACCCGCAGGTTGTCTTCACCAACCAACATGGCTCAGTCCACTTGTCAGTGACTTCATGGATTTATATCATGTTTTGGTCTGGCCGCCCCTACTTTTCTTCCAACCTACCCCTACATCGTAAAACATAGCTCGTCGAGGCAGTCAGTGGTTAGACATACCCAACACATATCCCAGCCATCTCAACTGATGGAGTTTCAATACTTCATCTATTGATCTGCCATCCTTAAATAGTACCCGTTCCCTAACACTAGCACTGCTTACCTAATGGTCTAAAGATATACGAACAATGCTTTTAAGACACTTATGATCGAAAACTAGCAACCTACGAATATTCTCTACTCTTAATGGCCATGTTTAGCAGCCATAAAGTAGGACGGAGCGAACTACTGCAATCAATTAATCAATCAATCAATATCAACGTAGAACTTCATACGTAAGTACATCGGCTCATGTTGCCGTACCACATTAGCACACAGATGTAATTGTCAATTGAAATCCAATAGTAGTAGAGGCAGTAAAGGTATCAGCAGTAGTCGGAGGGGTTAGGATTAGAAGATATTATTCAAGAAGTAGAATCTAGTGAAATAGACATAAAAAGATAAGGATAACGTGATGAAGAATAAAAAAGTTTAGGATTTGAGAGAACACAAAGAATGAATGCATCTGCGGTATTGCAAACGGTTTTGAGCCATGTCATTCAGGGTCTCTAACTATCGATTATTGTCATCTCGCGGACCTCAACCAGGTAGTCTACATCTACCGACATGACTCAGTCCATTTGTCAATGACTTCAGCGAACTACTGAGCAGCACACCCGTCTTTTAGTCAGCAAACGGATATCTCGCCTACGCCATAAGTGACGCAGGTTGGCAAAACCCAATCGAGCCTTCTGTATCCGTGCTGAGATTTTGTTAGTCACCAGGCCACCAGTACTGATGAGACTCCACAGATAAATGACGCGGTCAACATGCTCAACTGCTTCACTCCCTATCACCAGTTCGGGTGCCGATACAAGCCAATCCTGAAACAACATTTTGCATTTCGACAAGGAGAATCGCAACCCGAACATATATGCGATGTTGCTTAGGGTAGTCAGAAGACTCTGCATTTAGTTAGCGACTTCACCAAACAGAACTATGCGATTGACATATTCTACGTCAACAAGCGAGTCACTTGGCAGAAGGTCCACCCCTGAAAATTCAGACAAAGATAATGTTATAACTAGCAGCATCTCTATGATAAAATCAAACAAGAATGGAGAAAGTGGACATCCCTGAAGGACCCCATTTGAAGTAACTAATACCGATGACAGTTAGCCATAAGCTCTAACCCGACCATGAGGAAGTATGAACATTCGGTCTGCACATGTACATCCAGGTCGGAAATCGAACTAGTTTTCTCGAGACTGCTCTTCACAAGCTCTAGTTAGGCGCTGAAGTTTTATTGAAGCTAATATTTGAGACACTATATTAGTTAAACTGATTCGTGTGATTGTCGCAAGAGGACTATAGTTTTTGTTTATAGACTGGGATGATCAGCAATCGAAATCGGTCAGATGGGATTACGTTCACATCCCAGATTCCAGATACAACTTTAGTCAATCGAACTACTAAAACTGGACCACTATCCCTAAAAATTTAAGGGATTAATCCATTCGGACCTGCAGCGTTCGTCTGTTTTAGATTTCCTGTAGCCCTTCCAACCTCATTAGGAGTCGGACCGCCAACATCAATTTGTCATCCAGGTTGTTTGGTGGTGTGTAGTTGGGGAGTTGTTGCAGTTTAACATCAAATGAAGTACGCTAAAAAGCTGAAACTAACCTGTGAAAAAACTTTCGTATAAGTATGTTGCGTATGTAATCAGCATTATTAGGTGCTGATACAGAAGAGTCTATTTGCTTGCCACCAATTTGAGGTGTACTATAATCAACTGGTTGTTGATATTTGTCATTCTGACTTTTGTTCTGAACAGAGAGTAAAAGTATGATTTAAACTTATTATAATAGCCTAACAATGAAAATGGACGTTTATTTGATTTAAATTTTACAAAACAAATGCCTAAAGATATCTAGAAGCATTCAGGTACATTTTCATGGAAGAAATCTCACCAGCAATCGATTATTCGTAATATTTGACTCAAAACAAGAAGTACGGACACGAAAAGCATGGCACTTTTCGACTTCAGAGACTGGTCAACTCTACAAATCAGAAAATTTTGTTGAATATTCAGGTGTGATGATGCGATACTGACACTACACACTACAGGTGAATTCTATGTCAAGATAGGTTTTACTGTGACGTTCACTTATCAAATGGACACTAAGCTCTTCCTATCAAGATTACGGGTTATAGAACGCCAAAATTCCTTAACGAATGACAATGAATAACTATAAATAAATTAAATAATTTAATACTTCATAAGGATGAAATCATAATTGTAAGTCCTCGCTTTTTAACTATTAGCTAACTTATTCTTGTGGAATAAATACAAAACGTTGATTTTTTAACATACCGAACTGGGAAGATCATTTTCATCACTATCCCACTCATCATCCCATTCTTCAAAGCGATCAATTTCTTTCCCATATTCAACAGCAGGCAATGGTGGAGGTGGCAGTGGTGGTTCTGGTAACTCTATAATCTCCACAAATTCGGAAGGAATGAGACCTTCTTTTCCTAATGCATTTACTGCTTGCCACCATCCCGATCCGACATTTTGATTTGTAATTGTGAGTTCCTCTCCAACGCTAACACTGAGTTCACCACTCCATTGAGCAGAGAAGTCGTAAATCACACGCACCTTTAGAGTTTTACTCAAGGACAGAACCACAATTTACCTTCATTAGGATACCGAGAGAACGAAGGCGGACATAAAATAAAAGTCTAAAAGACTCACAAGCAGTTGAAAATTTCAACCGTCGGTAAGTCTGAGTCTAGCCTGATGGTACCCAGCGTACTGAGAGTAGAAAAAGAACAGTATGAGATTATCTGGAAGATGAAAAGTGAGCCAATGACTCACTACGAGCAAAGAACGAACTCACGTTCGATAGGGAAAGCAATAGACAACAATCCAAATTAACACTAAGCTGGTATCTGGTTAAGACTACAGTTTGGTAACGTACGGTTTGAAAGCGTTGCACAGTACAATATTCAATATCCAATATCCAATATCTTTTTCACGAGCTAGTGTAAACCAATTTGATTTCTTCGCGCTCGATTCTTGTTCTTTTGGTACGGTTCCAGGTGTTCGGTAATGTCCAATGGATGGAGGTCTAGCCACTCGACTGTCTAATTCTAGTCAGTTGGCAGTTGGTTGTGAGTTTGTATGTCTCGGGATTTGAATGAAACGTTTGTTTCAGGGCAGTAGGGTTTCTGGACACTAGCAGCCGTCACATTACCAAACCGGAGATCAGTTAGTTGCAATGTGGAGAGTAATAAGGGTAATAAGGGTAAATTAAAATGATAATATGAGTAAAATTTCAGAACTGAGTAATATATAGATGAATTTAGTTTATTAGTTGGTATTGAAGATTGTGAGAGAGGACCGAAGTGTAAGCAAGGGAGAGGAATAGGTGAATTAAATTAATTGAGTGATCTGAGGAGATGGCAATGGTAACAACTAGCAGATCTCAAGATATGCATCAGGCACAGCTTGTCCAAGAGGGAGATGATAGTCCGCATGTGAGTACGTGATTATCAAGTCTCTTCTTAAAGCAGTCCACTGAGGGGGCTGTAACTACCTCGGCTGGGAGAGCATTCCAAGTTGCGACGACTCGCATTGAGAAAAAGTGTGCACGAATCTGAGTGTTTGCTCTTTGATGTGCAATCTTTTGAGGATTGCCTCGAGGGGAGTGGTGGTGATGCATCGGTAAGATGCTCACATTGGGATGGTTTGGCGTGTTTAATATGGTGTACGCCATAATCAGGTCACCTCTGATTCTCCTGTAGCTCAGTGGGAATAATCCCAAGAGCTGGAGTCTATCGTCGTACGGTTTATTTTTCAACCCTATCACCCATTTGGTTGCTCGTCTCTGCACTCGATCCAAGAGATTAATGTCTCTTTCAAGCAGAGGGGGTGCGATGACGTTGTGAACCTCCAAGTGTGGGCGCGCGTACGTCTTAAAGAGGGTTAAAAATAATTTCGAGGTTATAGCACCAAGCTGTCTTCGCATAAAGTGAAGAGTCGCATTTGCCTTGGCTGCATCCCCTACATAGTTTGGACTGGTGTGGAGGCTTTCTGTGGTTATTAAACCAAGATTGCGCTCTGAGGAGACATTAGGGAGCGGACTTCCATTGAGAGTGTAGGTGGTTTGCGTCATATGAGGCAGGAAATGCATGACGTGGCACTTCGGTTGGTTGAGTTTTAAACCGTTTTTCACTGCCCATTTCTCAATGGATGTAAGGTCCTTTTGAAGCTCAGTCGAATCCTCTTCGCTTCTAATGGACCTCCAGATCTTCGCATCGTCTGCGTAGATCAGTGCCGGTGAGCTAACTAAGCTTAGCAGGTCGTTAATGAATATCAGGAAGAGGAGTGGGCCTAGGATGGTCCCCTGTGAAACTCCTGAAGTGGATACTCTCCAACTCGCGTGCACCCTGTTTACCTTGGTGCGAAACTTTCTATTCTCAAGGTAGTTTCTGAGCCAAGATACGAGTGGGTCAGTGAAGCCCATTTCCACAACCTTTTCGATTAGGTGTGCGTGGGGCACTGTGTCAAAGGCTTTTGCGAAGTCGAGAAATACTACGTGCACTGGTATTTTACGGTCCAAGCAGGATGTCTAACTGTCCCATGCGATGAGAAGATTAGATGCACACGACCTGCCTTTCCGAAACCCGTGTTGAGCTTCATGGAGTATTTTATTCTTGTTATGGCGGGCACTTAAAGAAGATTGACTATCTTCTAGAACTGTTTTTTCTGCTTAAGATTCATTATTTTTGGTTGTATACAAAGTAAGCATTTTATTCCTATTATTGTGACGTTGCTCTTATCCTATACTCTTGTTTGAGGCATTAACTGTTGTTATATCATTTCTCATTTATGAACTATAGTTAATTGACTGCTATGCGTTACCCCAGTTCACACTCACTATTACTGTTATTTTGTATTGATGTCAGTTTTCTAATTGGTTTACGATGCAGTCTGATTCTGCATGTATATAAAGGCATGATTGAAATAATAAAAAAACGCTCTGATCTGATCTGTCTGTCTGACTCATAAGTCGTTGTTTTTCCTTTATTCCGTGGGGCTGGTAATTGAGAGGCTGACGTGTCTGTACAGTGATTAGCGATCATCAAGGTCATTGTATATATTTGCACAAACACAATAAACTGGCGACGGTTTTTGAAGTGGATCCAACCTACGCAGTCATTGGTCATTAATTCTGCTACAATTTATTAGCCAATCAGCATTCAGTGTCATAAAGCGGATTAAAAAAAATCAATATGACTATCACATTTGAGCAAATGAAATTATGTCTACAGCAGCAACAACAGCAATTCCTAGCCTCTCAAGAACAAATGCTGGAGTCAATAATGGCGAAAATTGCTATCCAGTCCAGAGTAACTCCTGAAGAAAAAGGAATAGAGTTATCACTCAGTTCAGTTCCAGAATTTATTTTTGATGCAGAGAATGGCCATACATTTGAATCATGGTTCGGTAGAATCGAAGATCTTTTTCAAGTGGAATATAAACATATAGATGACGCGAAGAAGGTGCGTTTATTAACACAAAAACTTGGTCAGCATGAATATTCTAAATACAAGAATTATATCCTCCCACGACATCCAAGAGATCTGACATTTAATGAAACTATTGACATTTTAAATGCGATATTCTGTGAACCAGCATCATTATTTCATATTCGTTATAGATGCCTTCAATTGACAAAAGATGCAGATGAGGATTATTTGTCTTATGCAAGCAGAATTAATCTACAAGCCGAACGTTTTAAATTAAACGCATTGTCAATGATCAGTTTAAATGTTTATTATTTGTTTCTGGACTCCAGTCACCAGCAGATGCTGATGTTCGAACAAGATTGCTATCAAGCAGTGAGCAAAACGATGACATGACACTACAGATGGTAACGTCAGAATGTCAACGACTGGTCAACCTCAAAAATGATACGAAGCTTGTAGAGACCAAAGGTGATGTTTCACTAAATTGCATTATCCATTCTGTCAAATCCAACAAAAGTAAGAGTGTTCCAATGAATGATCAACGTCAAACTAAATTATTCAAACCGTCTTCGAAGTGCTAGTTTTGTGGATCTTGGCATTTCGCGAGATTTTGCCGTTATAAACGTTATAAGTGCAACATTTGCTATAAAGTTGGTCATAAAGAAACAGTCTGCCGACAACAGAATTATTTGAAATCTGGACGACGCATAAAGTTTTCCCGGAATCATAAAAGTTCAATACGTAGTATATATTCGACATTCACGTGTAATCTTGCTGACAAAAGAAGATATGTAGATCTATTAGTTAATGATGTTCAGATTCGTTTGCAGTTGGATACAGCATCTGATATCACACTTATTTCTAAGAAAACTTGGGAATTGATGGGTTGCCCCCAATACTGCCTACTGAAAATACAGCGCGTAATGCATCTGGAGATATTCTAAAACTCGTTGGGATGATAAATTGTGCTGTTAAATTCGGAGTACATTCTTTTACTGGAACTTGTTATTTAACAAACAGACATGATTTAGATCTTATTGGTATTGATTGGATTGACAAATTAATTCTTTGGAAGGTGCCAATAGACGCAGTGTGTACATTGAAAGATCCACATATTTCTAAAAATCTACCTGTATTAAATGCTACATCAAACAACAACGTCTTGACTACAGCTCATGTTTTTGAAAAGCATTCGAATGTATTTCAAGATATTTTGGGATGTTGCAATATTGGTAAAGCCAAATTATATTTACGTCAAGGAGCTACACCAGTTTTCCGTCCAAAACGGCAGGTACCCTACGCCTCTATCGATAGAGTTGATAAAGAACTTGACCGATTAGAAAAGCTTGGGGTTATACAACCTATTACTTTCTCATCATGGGCAGCTCCGATTGTTGTCGTTCAAAAAGCTAACGGTACTGTTCGTCTATGTGCTGACTTCTCTACTGGATTAAATAATGCTCTGCAAAATCATTCATATCCACTGCCGTTGCCCGAAGATCTATTCATTAAACTCAATGGTGGACGTCATTTTGCAAAACTGGATTTATCTGATGCCTATTTACAAGTAGAAGTTGATGATGATTCTAAGCCTTATCTAACAATAAATACTCATCGTGGACTTTACCAGTACAACAGACTACCTTTTGGTGTAAAGCCAGCGCCTGCTATTTTCCAACAGTTAATGGACATTATGATATCAAATCTTGATGGTGTTGCCGCTTATCTTGATGATATTATTGTTGTGGGTTCCTTTAAAGATGAGTTATTATCGCGTTTGAATAAAGTACTTACACGAATATCACAATCTGGTTTCCAACTGCAGAAACATAAATGTGAATTTTTCCTTCAATCTGTTAAATACCTTGGATTTATATTTGATAAACATGGGCGCCGTCCAGATCCAGATAATATACATGCTATCACACAAATGCCTGCACCTACCGATGTGGTGACTTTAAGATCATTCTTAGGTATGATTGGATATTATAGTGTTTTTGTTCCATCTATGCAAAGTTTACAAGACGTATGTCGGACGCATTTCCCGATTTTAATATAAAAACACAATAATTCTAGGGGAAAATGGTCTATTAATAAATGATAAATGGAAATACAAATAATACCTAACGAAATTTACGCCTTCCAATTCAAAATTACTCTGAACGAGTATCAATGTTCCGAGGTCTAGGTGAACTCCTACGCCATCCCTTGAATCAACTTCTAAGAGCGAATGCAACATGGAATTGGTCAGAAGCATGCCAGAATTCCTTCGAAGAAATCAAGAAAATCTTATCCTCTGATTTACTACTAAACCACTATAATCCAAAATTAGAGATAGTTGTCGCTGCCGATGCTTCTCACCACGGTATTGGTGCTGTTATTAGTCATCGTTTCCCTGATGGTAAAGAGAAACCGATAGCTCATGCGTCTAGATCTCTAAATGCTACTGAGAGGAGATAC